TGTAGTATTCCATTGTGTATATAAACCACAATTTCTTTATCCATTCATCAGTTGATGGACATTTAGGCTCTTTCCCTAATTTGGCTATTGTTGAGAGTGCTGCTATGAACATTGGGGTACAAGTGCCCCTATGCATCAGTACTCCTGTGTCCCTTGGATAAATTCCTAGCAGTGCTATTGCTGGGTCATAGGGTAGGTCTATTTTTAATTGGGAAAACTTTTTTCTAACTTATCCATTCAGAGAGGGTACTTTTTCCTAATTTGTAAGCCCAGAGAGGGCATCTTTTGAGACCACACAAAGCCGATGGGCCTGTCTTCCAGAACATTTATCTGTGTGTATGCAAACACATGCACACACAAATACACACATACATGAGGGCTTTTGGAAATCTGCTTGTTTTAAAGCTCTTAGGCAACAGTGGAGGACTCAATCCTAATTTTCTGTTAGGATTCTCATTGTCAATCAACAAATATTAATTAAATGTCTATAATAATGTATAGTTAACACCTTTGCCAGAGACACTATTATTTCTTGTGTGTCTTGTATTTGATACTATATTTGATAATGCTCCGTCCTTCAAAGTTCAGAATTCACAAAGTGAATTCAAAGTGTAGAAGTCATGGGCATTGTCGCATAGGTGCTAAAAAAAGGGAAACTGATAGTTCGCTATCCTGTTCACCCATGGGATGAAAATAATTTCGTAGGTTGACCTCTTTTCTAAGAATTCCTGGAAGTTTAAAAACTGCAGTTTTTGCAGTTTGCAAATTGTAGATCTGCTCTGCTCCAGAATTTTTTTTTCTCCAGAAGTTTTTTGAGAAGCTGACAGGGGTGCTGGAGGATGTTCTTATACAAATATTCACATCTACCATTTTAGTTATTCATTGAGCAAATATGTATTGGGAAGCTACTAGTGCTGTCATCTCTTTAAACGTTTGCAAACAATAAAGTCTAGTATTCATGCATTAAAGTTCAGAGACTTAATAGTAGAACAGGATTATCATCCTCAGGTCTCATAGAAGACTATGTATAGGATGAGCTTCTATTGTCAACGAGGAAACAACTATGTTTAAAAATGCAGTGGCCTCCCCAGGGGTACAGAATTGCTACTGAAGACTCATATCTGTATGCATATCAATTCACTCAGACAGGAGTACTTTAGCCAATTTAAAGCCATAAATATATTTTTCTTTAACTTCATCAACAATAATTTTGAATTTATCTAGGAAAGCCAATAGATTTACTATTTTTACTCACATCGGAGGAAAGGTCCTCAAATCAATGATGACCCCCCTTAACTAAATCCATTCAAACTGGCTTAATTAAAAATAGTATCTTATAAGATATATGATTAACTAAATTAAAGAAAATGGAAGTGACAGGAAAGGACTTGAATAACAAAGAAGCAGGTCTAAAGGTTCTACGTACTGGCTTATTTCTGTATTACAGTTAAATTTTTCTAAAGGTTTTCTGAGTTGGTTAATACCCTTGATGTAACTTTCACTAGTACATTGTCAAGCTTACCTTCATTAATATTATATTAAAGATGAAACTCTAAGAATTATAAAACAAATAAAAGTATTTGCTTAAGCTCAATGTGTAAAGAGCCCTTGATTAATAAATACTTAAATGACCTTACCATTTCATCTTCTGTGTCTAATATTTCCTCTAGATCTGACCGTGAAATGTTGAGAATAGAAGCTGCCAACGTCTGGGCTTTATGGGTTGAAGTTCTGCAAGCGTCCCTGTTTTTCTGCATTTTTTTACGCTCTCTGATTTGTTGCCTTATTTCATAGACATCATTTTGTAATTCCTTGACCAAAGCCTGCAACACATTGGAAAGAATGTGGGCTCATATGGAAGTCATAAATGAAGACAAAGCAGTCATAATATAAAAATATAAGGATATCAGCAAATCACTGCTTATTAGGATTACTCTGATTTTATTTATTTTGGAACACAATAGATTGCTCTTTACTTATTGTCTGTATGTAATAAAAGCTCTCTTAAATGAACACTCAACCAACTTGCTGGATTAACCAAACTCTCCAATCCCTCTTTCAGGTTTACGAACTGATATCCTGGTTGGTGAGCTCTTGCATCAGGCAGGCTACTTTTCATCATGCCAGAGCATAACTACTCCTGCCCACAGAGCTGATGCCAATTGTTGTTTGTTTATTGCTGAATGTGTGTATATTCATTGTAACAGGTTAATTATATTATTAATTTAATTATTACATAAACTGGTGAAATATGGCTACAGAAAGAAAGCTATTTCTATTTTATTAAAACTGGATCAGAAATCCTTTGCAAGGACTTGATCAAGGCAAGTTGAGTAAAAATGCAATTGAAATATTTGTGGGAAAGACAACAATAAAGATAAAAAAAAAAAAAAAAAAACCAAATCCAAAACCATGGGACTACTTCACAAGAGTCTTTAAGTTCTCCTTTTCAGAAACGAATCAATGCTAGTCTATACCATACCTACCCAAGCATGAGAAAAGGACACCCCTTACTCTGGGTAGACAGAGCTCTGGACCTCGGGTGCCCGGCTTCGTGAACTGAGAGCAGCCTAGCCAGATGTTTGGGTTGTTTTTCTTTTTTAAAGTTTATTTATTTTTGAGAGAGAGAGAGAGAGAGAGAGAGCGCGCGCGCGCGCAAGTGAGAGCTGGGGAGGGGCAGAGAGAAAAGGAGACACAGAATCTAAAGCAGGCTCCAGGCTCTGAGCTTAACCAACTGAGCCATCTAGGCACCGCTGTTTGGGTTTTTCAATCTTATGCCAGCTCAAGCAATGTTGCAATAAATAACAGTGCTCATGTATACATTTTGCATCTCTAGGATATATCCATGGAAGAGAAATTGCTGGACCAATGGGTGTGTCTAACTGTAATTCTGAAAACCTTTAATGTCCCCACCCTCCAAGACAGTACCAAGATATACCTCTACAAAGAACATATGAAAGTATTTGTGGGGCACCTGGGTGGCTCAACTGGTTAAGCATCCAACTTTGGCTCAGGTCATGATTGCACAGTTTATGAGTTCAAGTCTCATATTGGGCTCTCTGCTGTCAGTGTGGAGCCTGCTTCTGATCCTCTGTCCACCCCCTTCCCCGCCCCTCCCCAGCTCGTGCTCTATCTTTCTCTCTCTCAAAAACAAATAAACATTAAAAGAGGGGCTCCTGGGTGGCTCAGTCATTTGAGTGTGGGACTCTTGACCTCAGCTCACATCATGATCTCACCGTTGGTGAGTTCAATCCCTGGATCAGGAGCTGCGCTGAAAACACAGAGCCTGCTTGGGATTCTCTCTCCCTCTCTCTGCCCCTCCCCTGCTCATGCTGTCTCTGTCTCTCTCAAAATAAATAAATAAACTTAAAAAAAAAAGTACTTGTTTCTGCATACCATTAGCAAAACACCAATCTGGGATTTTACCGTAGCTTGTTTTTTCACTGTATGTGTAAGTTTCATTTCCCTTGTGAAAAAAAAAAAGTTGAACATCAGCCTTAAGAAATATTATATTTCTTTTCTCATTTTTTTCTGTTTTTCTTAGTGATTTACAGGAATCATTTACATATTGGGGATATTATATTTATCTATTGTACATAAGTGAATTTTTTCATTCTTTGTATTTTTCTTTTCACAGTAATTAGTGTTTCATGCCAAGGAAAAATATTTCTTATTTTTAATATACTCAATGGTTCTTTTCCTTTCTTTCTCACTTTTGAATTTAGTGTGTTACTTCAAAAAGTATTCTCCACAATGAGACATATATAAATGCATTTTCTAACCATGACTTTTTCTGCTACTTTTAAGTTTTCATTTTTCAATTTTCAATTTGTTACCCATTGGTCATCATTTTGAAATTGCTACATAAAATCATACTCAGTTGTCCCACAACCATTCATTAGAAAGTTCACCTTCCTCCCAGTGAACTCCTGTGTGTTTGGGTCAGTTTCTGGACTTTCTGTTCCGTTCCATCTCTCTTTTTATTAGTGAAGTGTTAGAACATAGTAAGCTAGTGAGGCTTTATAATAAATGTTAACATTTGGCAGGCTATCTCCCTCTCATTACCCTTCTTTTGCAGATTTTTCTTGGTAATTTTTGCTTGTTTGGTTTTCCATATGGAACATTGTCTAGTTTTCCTCCCCTTAAAAACCAAATCTTACTGGTAATTTTATTTCAATCATGTTACATTTCATCTGGATCAGGCTAACATTTTAACATGTTTGAGTCTTCCTAATTGAAGACCATGGAGTTCCTTCCCAATTAAATCTTTATTTGCATTTCTTAGAATCATTTTTAAGTTTTCTCTTTATAGATCTAGCTTATTCCTGAGCATTTTATTTTTGGGGGGCTGCTTCTTTTTTTTTAAGTTTATTTATTTTTGAGAGAGAGGGAAAGTGTGAGTGGGGGGGCAAAAAGAGAAGGAAAGAGAGAGAATCTCAAGTAGGCTCCACACTGTCAGCACAGAGCCCAATGTGGGGTTCAAACCCACGAACCCTGAGATCATGACCTGATTGGGGGCTGCTTCTAATACCGACTGTTGCTTGTATATATAAAGATTGTTGACATATATTTAGCTTACTGAAGCTTCTTATTTGTTATAATTTTTCAGCTCCTTAGTTTCTAGGGATTGAATTGTATCTTCAAATATTGATAATTTTATCTCTTATTTTCCAAATATTACACCTCTAATTTCTTTTCTGATTGCATCAGTTAAGTTCCTCCCAAACAGTATTAAATAATTGCACTGATGTGCCAGAAGCCAAGCTATCCAACCAGCCTGATGGCAGTGCCCGGGCGGTGGATGGATCGGCACTGCATGGCGGCCCACCGAAAGTGAAGCTTCTCGGACTCCTGCTTTTATATAATTTGGCCTTAGCGCTGGTCAGGGCAGCCCCCCTCCCAGTGAAAGCACCTGGGGATTTGTCGGTTGGGGAATTGCCCATGACAGGCCCCCCCGGGAAAAGAACCACTGGGGAAAGAAAGAAGATTCCGCAAGGAAATCATGCAGCCAGCCCTTGCCACCCCCTATAAAGACTCCTCCCCCTAAAGGAAGGACAGCCCCATATATTTCTCAGCCAAGGAGGGGGACAAATGGGTTCCAAATCCCCACTCTGGCAACAAAGGAATGTATATACGGATACAAG